CTCTCGCCAAAGAGCTACTAAGCTGCTCAAAGAAGCTCCTGGCACGCAAAGACAGATGGTGGGACTGAGCCTCCCGTGCAGGGAGAAGCCTCTGGCACCAACCAAGAGGGTGCTGTCCAGAGGGAAGCCGGCAATGGTGCACCTCTCAAGGTCACCGTCTCAGCACCTCTCTTGGCATTGCTCCCATTCAAGCTCAGCATCCTGCTATTCCCCGGCACCCGCGACCCAGTGTGAGATTACAGCACCGGAGGTGAACCCGCCCGCGGCAACTGCACGCCGGTCCACAACGCCATCAGTCGCCCAGCACTGGAGTATGGCACCGATAACCTCACCGGCACCGAGTAAGAGGCACCAGTCCCAATCCCGAGACTCCCGGTACCATTTGCGGTCCCAGTCAGCCAGGCATTGCTCCCCGGCCGCTCAACATTCGGTACTGCCCTGGTCCTCTCCGTCAGTATCCTCCGGCTCCGAGGCCAACTCCGGTCACTCTAGCTATAGCAGACATCGAACCATAGCCAGCAGAGAATCCCAATCAGCATAGCAGCCACAATGACTTCCTCTGGGTCAGTGGCCTTTCAGGACCCCATGGGCCTACCACCAGCAACAGGGCATCACCTCCAGGGCCTCTAGGTCTGCGCAATCTGTGCGACGCCATTCCAGGTTGCCAAACAGGCATGCATCAAGGACAAGGGAGGCCACTCTCTCTAGGCGGCCCCCGTCCTCCAAGAGCAACCGGCGCTTCCAGGCCCAATGCCCGAGGCGGTGCCAAGCACTGCTACACTTTGAGAGGTGTCAGCCACGCCGGGCTCTGAAGTGTCCCAGGCATATGGGGACACACAGGAGGGTCTAGATGAGGGCAACCAGCAGCACCTCACTTCCTCCTCTTCCCCAGACGAGGCGGTGGCGGGCACATCAGTCTCAGGACTGCCACCGATCGACTATGGGGCTCCAGGCGGAAGAAAGGGTCGAGCAGGAGGATCCGATGGTGGACATCCTGATACCCGAGGGTCCCTCCAGAGTCACGCTCCCTCTCATAAAGACCATACAGACGAATTACAACGCTATATGGCAGATCCCGGCCTCCATCACGCCGACGGCCGGTGGGTAGAAAGGAAATACTTTGCCCCTTCCGAGGGCTATGAGTTCCTGTTCTGCCATCCAACTCCCTGTTCCCTAGTCGTTTCAGCAGTCAATGAGAAGGAACGACAGGGCCAACAGTCTTGGCCCCAAAGGCCAAGGAGGCCAAGCATTTGGACCTCTTAGGTAGGATGGTCTACTCCTCCAGGGGCCTCCAGCTACGCATAGCCAGCCAGCAGGCGGTCCTTAATAGACATAACTTCAACTCTTGGATGGCCATGTCCAAGTTTAAGGATCGCCTGCCCCAGGACTCACATTCTGAGTTTGCGGCGTTAATCAGGGAAGGGAAAGACAGTGGGTAAGACTTCGCTACAAGCCTCCCTCGATTCAGCTGACTCTGCGGCCAGAACCATTGCCTCGGGGGTAGTTATGCGATGCTCAGCATGGCTCCAGGCATCGGGTCTCTCTCCAGAGGTCCAGAATACCCTCCAAGACCTTCCCTTCGAGGGCTCGGGCCTTGTCTTGAAGCAAACAGACTCCAGGCTGCACAGCCTTAAGGATTCTAGGACCACCCTGAAATCGCTAGGGATATATATGCCAGCAACCCAGAGAAAGCCTTTCTGGCCTCAGCCTCTGCAGCAGAGGCAGTATCGACCCCGCCCTAGGTAGGAGCCGTATCGCAGGAGGGGCAGAAATAACAGGTGTAGACAGCAGAATAATGCACCTAACGAAGGCTGTAATAAACCCTGGCCCAGAAACAAGCTAGGGGTTGAAGGCGTTCCCAAGGACAGTGTACCAACCCAGTTCCCGGATCCATCCCCGCGGTTTTAAAACCAGCTATCCCACTTCTACCGTGCGAGGTCCCATATAACATCAGACCGCTGGGTCCTGTGCGTGGTACAGTTACTCCCTCAGGTTCTCCTCCTTCCCTCCCTCCCACCCACCTTCCCCGTCCCTCTTCAAGGACCCCTCTCACAAGCAACTCCTTATGCAGGAGGTTCGTTCGTTCCTCAAGATAGGTGCAGTGGAGGAGGTTCCACAGGAGCTAAGGGGAAAGGGGTTTTACTCCTGTTACTTTCTAATCCCCAAGGCAAAGGGCGGTCTTCGACCCATTTTAGACCTTTGCGGACTCAACAAATTTATGGTCAAAGACCAGTTCCACATGGTCCCCTAAGCACATTCCATCGTTGGATCCAGGGGATTGGGACGCTGCCCTCGACATGAAAGATGCATACTTTCATATTGCCATTCATCCAGCGCACTGACGCTTCCTCTGTTTTGTCGTAAACCAGTATCACTACCAGTTCACGGTTCTCCCATTTTCAGCCTGACCACAGCTCCCTGAGTGTTCACAAAATGCATAGCAGTGGTGGCAGAAAAGGCACGTTCGAGTGTACCCGTACCTCAACGACTGGCTACTGACAGGTTGTTCCAAGGACGAGGTCCAGTCCCACATGACAGTGGTCTTGGACATGTTTCATAGACTGGGGCTCCTCCTCAATGTACCCAAATCATCACTCATACCTACCCAAAGGATAGAGTTTATAGGGGAAGTCCTGGACTCGATATGGGCAAAAGCGAGCCTTCCAGAGCCCAGGTTCCAAGCCATAGAGCAGATTGTCAAATCAGTGCTTCAGTATCCCACCATCACAGTCAGGTGTTGCTGCAGCTAATAGGGCATATGGCAGCATGCACGTACGTGGTCAAGCATGCCCAATTGAGACTCAGACGCATGCAAGCGTGGCTCACACTGTCTTACTGTCTGTACCGAGACCCCCTGGACCTTGTGGTGACAATTCCGGGACAGGTTCTAGAACCCCTGCATTGGTGGCTGGTCTGTGCAGGGGTCCCCTTCTCCAAGCCCCAACCTTCTCTGACCTTAGTAACAGATGTGTCAGATCTGGGCTGGGGCGCTTACTTTAGGGGATCTGAGGACACAAGGCTTGTGGTCGAGGGACAAGATGCCTCATGTCAACCTGAAGGAGCTCAGGGCAGTTTGTCTGGCCTGCCAAACCTTTCACACCACTTTGCAGGGTCACAGCATGACCATCCTGACAGACAACAACACCGCCAGGTTTTATAAACAAGCAAAGGGGGAGCCCGCTCCTCACCTCTCTGCCGCAAGGCTCTTCTTCTCTGGGACTTCTGTATAGCATAATCCATTCAGCTCGAAGCATCCTACCTTCCAGGGATATGGAATGAGCTGGCAGATCGCCTCAGCAGGTCATACCACATGCACGAGTGGTCAATCAGATCGGACATCATACAGTCTGTCTTCCAAAAGTGGGGTTATCCCCAAGTAGACCTCTTCGCCACCAAGAGCAACAGACAGTGCCCTCATCTCTGCTCATTCCAAAACCACAGTCCGGGCTCGATTGCTGATGCGTTCCTAATACTGTGGGGCAAGGGTCTGAAGTATGCCTTCCCTCCTAACCGGCTCGTCCACTGGCGGCTCCTCAAAATTCGCAGGGACAGGGCGACGGTAATCATGATCGCCCTGTCTTGGCCCCGGCAACATTGGTACACAACCCTCCTAGAGCTGTCCGTAGATGCCCCAATAGCCCTGCCCCACCACACGGATCTGATCATGCAGGACCATGGGTGCCTCCTTCACCCGAACTTGCAATCTCTACATCTCATGGCTTGGAAACTCCATGGCTAAATCCCATGGAGAGCC